AGGTGGAATGAGATCCCTGCCCTAAGCAAAAACAAGAAGTTGACTTAGGTGAGCGCCAAAGAAATGCTGCTGAGCAAAATAGCAAAAGAGACAGTGAGAAAATTGAAATGATGAAGAACAGGAGTACATAGTATCATTTTTAAAGTATAGTGGCAATAAATTAGAGCGAAATGATGTACCCCTATAGAAATTTCTGTGGTTTCTGGTCAGATTTTTCTATTCATCTTAACCTGTTCTTTAAAAAAGGTAATCAGGTGGTTTCTTCTGCCAAAAAGTTGCTCAAAACTTACTTGTGCAAATAGCTCTGGAAGTCTGCTTGGATCAACAAAAGTGTGTGGAAGAAGCTTAAATATCTCTTGTGCGCCATGAGAAACTATTAGGAAAAGGAAAAGACAAGAGAGACATAAGAAGCTTAAATATCTCTTGTGCGCCATGAGAAACTATTAGGAAAAGGAAAAGACGAGAGACATACTGCATGAGAAATATATGCCTTTCAAAGTTTGCAGCAGAAATCATTATGCTTGCGTGTATGTGGAGCAATTTTAATGTATAAACACGAAAATCAAATTCCACTGCAACTAGTAATTGAATTAACAGCAGCACTTAAGAAACATGTAAAATACTTCAGAACAGAATGATATATCATCAAGTGATCTAAGAGTGCAGAGACTGAACTTAATACCATGATCCACATCTTTGATAGCAACAATATTGAATTTATCAGCTAAGGACATCATGGATGTTTGGAAAATAGAATATAAAGTAGCTCTTTACTATACCATTTCCATTTCCAGATCCGGTGAATATGAATACCAAAGGACAGATTCCCGATGGCAATCCAAAAGTAGCGATCTCTTCTCCAACAGAAATAACAGCAGCTTTGGCAGCAGCCAAGGATGAATACATGTAAGCTTCACCCAATGAGAGGAACGGTGTTGAATATCCAAGACTTAGATAACCTGAAGAAAAATTTTAGTAATAAAAACAAAAGGGTTAAAATCATCTCCAGCTGGAATATTCCAAACATAGTACAACAGGATCATCATTTCAGCATCACTAAATGAAATAAGGCCCTATAAACATAAACATCCTCCTCGTAGCAGAGTTAAAAAGAACAAGAAGGAAAAGGTAATTCCACAACCCTTCCCCTCAAAGGAGAAACAGGGAAGAAGTGTGCAGAAGCAATTGTGATTGTATGCAAACAACCTCTACAAAAAAGAGACATAAATGTGCATAACAACAGTCATCAAATCAGTAAAAAGGATTTCAGAAGTGGAGCATACGCTTTCCTAATCCACCCAAGAAATCAATGAACCCGGCTCTGCCAGCAAATTTCCCAAATGCAAGCAACCTTTTACCATGGTCCCCAACAATGAGTTCATAGTCATACAATGATACCCTCTGAGCTAGTACCTACATGACAGAGAAATCAGCATGAGCAAAATTATCATCATCAATTTATCACAGCCAACAAGGGCATGAACACAAATAAATACCTTATCCAACAAAGGCATGTTTTCTTTCTGAGCCTTGTGAGTATGAGAGAAGAAGGCATAAGCTCTATCATGAAGAATCATATCCAGCTGCACCAAAGCCAAACAAATCAATCAAACTCCCTAACATGGTTACCCTCCAAAACCAGAGAACATACGATCTCATCACCTTGGGCTGCTTAATTCCCACGATGAGCCCACATTCGGACAAATCATCCGATATCTCACAGCCAACATCCTCATACATCGCATCATGATGAATACGCTTCGTCGACGGCTGCACAATTATCCGAGCTACCCCAGTTTTATCCTTCCCACTATGCAAAATTCGAGCACAATGAGAAGGGGTTAAAGGCGCCCTTCTTTCCCACTTGTTCACTGACTCCGAGAGGATTCCAACAACTCCATTACCAAGCATGGTGTACGTACCTTCTTCCCTGTTCTTCCTGAATAAGCAATCACACACTTAGCATTATAATTTAAGATAACCTTGTTGCAAGATGAAGAAACAAACTGTTCGTTAATATGCTTGATTTTGAAACTATTTATGCCATTCCAAACAAGATAACTTTCAAAATAAAATTAAAAAAATATTAAAGCAGAACAAAACCAGTTGCACTTGCAAACGCAATCAAACAAATTATTTAAAAACATAGCCTCCAATTATCGTCTCCATAAAAAACAGAATCGATCAATAAATAAATATATGACGACGGACATGCGTGAAAGTGAAAGAATGATTATCCAGATTTTTTATTTCAGTCGGAACAAATAATGCATGCATGGATTACATCTACAAATATAAATTTTGAACAATTTTCTTATATATATATATATAGTCATGGCACTATTCGAGGTGGATCACAGTACTTGAAACTTTATTGATCAAAAACCCCACAGTGATCCCCAGCAGCTTTACACATAAACCTGAAAATATAACCAGAGAATAAATATAAAAAATTAATCGTAGTACTGATTCATAAAAAGAAAAGAGAAGAGATGAGGAAAGGCCACCTTTTAATCACAACAGTCTCAGTCCCTCCACATTTAAAAGAGAGACGACTCTGTTTTATCTTCCTCTTGTTTTTCTATTTTCTGTCAGAGAGAGAGAGAGAATGTCTGATTCTGATTCCGGGCGTTAAAAGTGAGGGCGGATGCAAATGCTAGAACAGTTCATTCTGATGTGATATCAACATCGATAGATCGATGGGATTATTATAGTTAATGTAGTATTTTTATTTTTAAAAAAATATTTTTAATATTATTATATAAAATATAAAAACATAAATTTTAAAAATTAGATTTTTACATACGACATTCAAGAAAAATATTATAGCTGTTATTTTTATAAAATATTTTTTATTTTTAAATATATTAAAATAATATTTTTTTATTTTTTAAAATAATTTTAAGTATAATAACTTGAAATATATAAAAATATATTTTTAAATATAAAAACAAACCAATTTTATATATATATATTTTACGGATTTTGAACTAAAGTACAAAAATTTGAGTACCAAGCGCTTCCGTGGTCTATTTCAGAGGAACATGCGTTCAGTTTACTTGTTTGTTTTTTCATGAGGAAGGATTGTGTGTGACACTAGATTAATCTTGTGATATGGATATGGCTGACGTAATTGGCTAGAAAGTGGTGGGTCCACACATTTCCCATAATGTTGTGCCACGTTTGTTGCATTTATGAGTTATCTAACCACACCCACCCACACTGCCTGCTCGTTGGCAACTGGGACAAGTTAAGACTGCCTTTTGCATTTTGGCCACTTCTAACTTTCGTCCGTTTTTCTTGTGCTGACTAGGAGAGAGGAACACCGTGGCGTCACGTTTTCCTTGTGAGAATCCCAGCCTACCTCCCTTCCGATTTTTTAAGATTAAATTAATAAAATGATAGATGACAAATTACCACCTATGCTGATGCTAGATCTTTTTATGGTATTTATAATTATTTTTTAAATAATTATATATAAACCTAATATATATATTTAAAAAAAAAAACTTTAGCTCTTGAATAGACAAGACAAGAGGGAAGGATAATAAAGATTATTACATATCAAAATCTTCAAAACTCAAAAACATTATAAATAAGAGAGGAGAAAAAAACTAGAATACCTAATAATTTAATAAAAAAATAAACTAGAAAGAATATCCTTTTGAAATAGGCAAAAAACTTAAAAAACATCATAATAAAGAATATATAAAATAAAAACAAGAAAATATCTATTCTTCTAAATATATATATATATTAAATAACAAATAATCTTATAGGAAATAAATTCAAATAAATTATAATGATGAATTTAAAATCAATAAAAAATATTAATGTATGAAATTGAAAAAAAAAATCTAAAAAACACTCAACTGAAAAAATAAAAAAATTGAAAAATAATTTTTATTTTCTTAAAAAGGCTACCTCCCTCGTTAATTGTTGACAAGCGGGGAAAATACAGTAGGTGAAGGTAATACGCAAATCTCTCTTCGAGAAATGAGGTGGAAGGATTTCGAAGTTCAATTTCTAAAGTAGCCCAAAGCAAGTCCCGAGGGAGACTGAAGCCCCCTCCGTGAGTTTATATTCGGCCATGAATCGGCCCATTGAGCCCCTCCTCGGCCTCTGTTCAGTTCTGTAAAATAAAAGAATTAAGCTTAAAAACATGGTAAGCTTCTGGTTTTCCCCAGAAAGTCCCTAGTCTCTCTGGCTCTGTCATCACCTTCCCTGCCTGTGTAATGCTTCATTGATTTCCCTTCTACCGAAATTATCAAAATGGCTGACCAGTCGCAAGCACACTCCCGAGTCCCAGACGACACTGTTTACTACGCTATCTACCCGGACTCCTCTTCCCTCTCTAATCCCTCCGCTTCCTCTCAATCCCTCCACCTCTACCTCCAAATCCTTGACTTAATTTCTCCTTACACCTCCTCTTACATCTGGCAACACGAACCCTTCTCTCTTTCCCCCTCCTTTCTCTCTTTCCCTCTCCTCCTCTTCTTCCCCCCCTGTCCCTCACCTCCACGGCAAGCTCCGCTTTGGCGACAACATTGAAGATGAGTGGTTCACTGTTTTCCTTCTCTTCCAAATCTCTCACCACTTCCCTTCTCTCTCCATTCGAGTCTGGGACAACGACGGTGAATTTCTCCTCATTGAAGCTGCCTTTCATCTCCCTCGCTGGATTAACCCCGAAACCAGTGATAACCGTGTGTTTATTCGCCGCGGTGACATCCATATTGTTCCGAAAAGCCGGTTACCAAACCCGAAGTTGATCGATTCCTTGAAGTTCTTGATAGACTGCGAGGGTGAGTCGCGTGCGGCGGAGTCTGTTCAGATTGCGGTGAAGGGTCGGATTTCTGATTATCCAGAAAGAGCGAGGCGAAATATGCATCAATCTAGGGTTAGGGTTCCGGTATCGGTGGCACAGGTCTTAAAGCAGGAGCCGTGCTTGATTTCTTTGGCGGTGGAGGGGTTTTATGATAGGGATATTGATACAATGAAGTATGCGGCAAAAATGGAGAGATTTCTTAGCAAAGGGAAAGAGGAGGCATTGGTTTGTGGGGAAAGAGGAGGAATTGGTTTGTGTGGTGATAAAAATGTCTAGAGCTATGTATGCTCAGTTAATGCAGCAGAAGTTTCAGGCACCCAAGTGCTATCGTATGCCTCATCGAGGAGATGACCTGGGTGCGTATCTGGAGGCGGAGTTAGGTATGAAGATTGCTTGTGGGTTCGAGATGATGTATCAACAGAGGAGGAGGGAAGGAGAGGAGGGTAAAGGGAGCACGTGGTTGAAGTACAAGGAGAGTTTGGAGAGGAGTGGGTATTTTGAAGGATTTTTGCCAGGTTCGAAGGATTACAAGAGGTTGATGGAGAATGCTGAGGGGTATTACCGAAATAGTACCTTGTTTTCTAGGACCAGGTATTTGTTTTTCTTGATAATGCAAGAGTTTCTAGTGCATGGATTGTTTGTATGATGGTGGTCAAACTCTAAATAAATTGCTGAATTGGTTATCCCCTAGCAGAGGAAACATGATTGGCCAGCGCTGGAAGATTCATGAATTGCTAGACATTAGGTTCCATCTTCTAGTGTTGTAGGAAAATGGATTATCTGTTGCAGTTTGTAGAAATGCCATGCATCCAGCATCACATCTCATTTTTATAATTGTTTTTAAATTTTCAAATATGAGATGTGGATGCCACAATATCAATATTTTAACGGCTGTTGGAAGCCCTTTTCCTTCGAGTTATGCAAAATAAGCCTGATTACTATTTGATGTTACACAAATGTAGTGTTGCTTTCTTTGGTTTTTGTTGTTTAGTCATTTCTAATGATGAAATGCTATTGCAGTCAAATGATGAGTGCTCCAGTGAGACGGATTGATGAGATTCTTGCTTTACCACACTCAGCCGATGATTTTAGGTGCCAGGAGGTTCCACCTTCTGATGATGATTCTTGGCTGTATAATGGAGAAGATGAGTTGAATGCTGCTCTACAAGAGAGACAAAACGAGATGGATCTCTACAATGCCAAACATAAAAAGAAACAGATGCCAAAAGAGTCAGAAGATGCTGGTCCTTCATCCAGCAGTAATTTTGATGATTTTGATGTTGGTGAAATGGCAAAAGCTATGCAAGCATTCGTGGATAAAGCATCAAGTTACAAGGGAGCAGAGGTTCCAGGAAACAGGTTTGCACATAAATCCTATGGCATCCAAATTGCATAAATCTTGTGCCTGAACTCTAATTTAATTGTATAATTCTAAAAATCAATGCTCAAATGTATCTCCCTCATGAAAGTTGTGTTTTTTGGTTGACTTTTTTAGCGACTGTGATTTTTAAACTTGTATTGGCTAGACAGTGTTGTACCTTGGTGACTTTAGTATTAAGAATTCCTGAACTCCAATCTTCCCTAGCTTGGGCTGTACATAACTTGCTGATTTCGATTCAGTTTGTATAAACATAGTTTGTCAGGTCTTAACTTGCTTATCCCATTTCAATTGTTTTAATCTTCTTCTTCTTCTTTGGAAGGGTGGTGGGGTTAGATAGAACTTACCTGTAACCATTAACTCCAGGATAATGCACCATAACTTGTATGTTGATGTAGTATACCTGGTAGAAAATTAAAATTTTCAAGCCACTGGCTTTTCTTGCTTGTTAGGATCAGATTTTTTTTTTCATTCCTTGTTCAGATTTAAAATGATTTGATGTGAAGTCTTTACATAGATTATATGTTGTTAACCTTTTGATCTAAAGCCTTGCATGGACATGTTTAAGATGCTGCATACCCATTCATTCAATGAAGTAAAGGAATAATGTTTATTTTCAGTTGTTAGTTATGTGATTAGAATACTGTTGTTGATCTCTGGTTGGAGCTATGATAGTCTTTTCTGAATCATGTACTCTAGGGAACAAGAGGCATCAACACCCCTTGGTTAGACTAGAGATTTATTCCCTTCTCCCTTCTTATATTTCAGCCTAAATTGCCTGTATCTGATCCATGCTGCGCTGTTCTTTAGATTGGATCAGCAATTAAGCACAACATTCATGTATTTTGCTGCTTTTATGGATCAGCAATTAAGCACAACATTCATGTATTTTGCTGCTTTTATTTGAAGGAATATGAAAGAGGTGGACCTTGATGTTGAGTGTTTTCTAAATGACATGGAATCAGTAATGAAGCGCTATGGCCCTAAAGACAGTGCTACCGATGTTGATTCTGAAGAAGTATCCTCATCTGACATGGATTTTGGTATGTTTATTCTTTAGTTTATTATGTTGCATAAATTTCTTTTTTTCTCACATGTGCTGCTCGTGGGAATCATACACTTTCTTCCTTTTATGTTAGCTGGTCAAGTCTCACATCATTTTAATCTAGGAGCAGTAACACAAATCTATTAGCTTTTCCTATCCTTAAGGAGCTCTCTGTCTAGAGGGTAGTGATGTATGTTGGAAAATTTTACGTGGTCCTTTGATTTCTAAATCTTATGGCTAGACTTATTACACAATAATAGACAACAAAACTACAACTAAAATATGATGCCTGACGGCATAAGATAACTGTCAGTTTGCTGTTTTTGCAAGAATTTGAATGCTTTTTTAAGAGGCTTTTCTGTTAGCAGCCAATTGTTTTTTATTTTTTGGGTGGGATGGAGTTTGGTTGGGGTGAGTGGCTGTGCTGGGAGCTTGGTAAACTTTCAAATTGTTATAAATCACATGGCTTAATAATGCACATGAATACCTATTGTCTGGATGTTTTGGGGTTTTCTGCTCTTTGTTGTGTTAGCACATAAAGCCAACTCCTGTTTGCTAGAGAATATTTAGTTAACTTGCGAGAGCTCCAAAGTATATTTGGTGAATTTAGATCAAGTTGAAAATTTATACTGAAGTAAGGTGCATTTTGTGATTTTTCATTTGGGAGATTCAGTAAGGTGAAAAACAAACTCTTATTTAGATGTTCTTATTCTCGCCATCATGTTTTCATTTGGCTATGTCACCCAAATTTTGATGCTACATGGATTTCAGAGGCTGACTTTCTTGCATTGGATCTCGAGGTTCAGGATTCTTATCCCCGGACAAACTCTTCATCCTCAAGTTCTTTTTAACCCGGGAAGAATGACGTGGGTTTGCACAACAGATTTGCCCATGCAATGCCGTGGGCTGGTCAAAAAAATTTTAACCCAAAAAATGATAATTTAGGAAATGATTATGTTTTTAAAAAAGTAAAGAAATTCGATAATAAATCTTGGTTAATTTAATAATATTATATAAAAAAATGAGGTAACAAAAAAAAAAGCCAAAAAAGATGGGGACTCTTAAGACAAATTTCAAAGCCGGCATCTATTTCACTTGTGTTTTTTTTTTTTTTCCTTTCAGTCTATTTTTCAATTTAACTCTCCCTAAAAAAAATATATAATTGAGCACTAATTTGGATTTAAAAGAGCTTAATTGTGCAAAATAAAAGTTCGAGAATCAATTAATTTTTATTTTTTTTAAAAATCGTTGCTCCAATCCACAATGATCTATGAGATAGTGAACATTAATCACACCACAATAAAAGAAAGAGCACTTTTAGTGTTTACATCTTGTTTGTGCATGCAGCATATCAGCTTTTTTTTGCGACAAAGAATTAGCACATGAATGGAAGGCTCTTTTCCATGTTTCTTTTGGTTCTTAATTTATTTCTTGCAACTATTTTTCTCAGATGAGTCTGAAGATGAGAGTGATATTATGGAAGCTTCTGAGGATAATGTGGACGGGAAGGATGCTTTCATGAACACTTATTCTGATGCTCTGAATGAGGAACTGAAGAATACCACCCTTAAGAAAAGTTTTGTTCGTACAGATGGCCAATTGTCCAAGAAAAACCAGGTAGCTTTCTCATATTTTGCTTGTGTGGACTCTGCTGAAATTTGTATTAGGCAGCAATATTTTGTTCCTATTCAGTGAAATGCCTTGTAATGTGCAAAAGAAGATACTTGTCTTTCTAGAAGGGTGTTATTTATTTATTTTGCACGTGTTCTTTTTAGTCGATTTTTAGAGGAGGTTCAAATGCTTGGTTTATTCTTGCTCTGCTCCATGTAGTGTCAAGTTAAAGAAATTTAAGCAAAATGTCCTGACAATATGCACATTTAAAAGTAGGAATTTACAATATCTGTACTTTTTTCTTTTTCCTAGAGTGCCTTGTTGCGTCAATTATTTAGATCAAATTATGAGATGTATGAATTTATTCGCGTGTAGGAGACATCAAATGCCATGGAGGGCATGGATGAAGAATTTACTCCCGTGGATGTTGATGTTAACCTGGTGAAGAGCCTGCTTGATTCCTATTCATCTCAACAAGGACAACCTGGCCCCACTTCCAATTTGCTGGGGCTCATGGGTCTACAGCTCCCTCAAGATACCACCAAGGGCAAATGAAGCTATTACATCTTCTCCCCTCATCTCATATTTCTTGTGCAATGGGGTTCATGATTTTGCAAGGGAACCCATCTGCACTGCTTAGTGTCAACTGAACTTTTAGATGCAGAATTGCCTCATGTAACTAGTGCCTATATACTCTGAACCATCTAGTATAATGGTTGAATTGTTAATTATCCAATTTCTGGTTTGATCAGTTTGTATTTAGCCTGACTACGTTTGATACTTCTGAATCGGATTATGGATGAGGTGGTGGATGCGATTTTAGGACAGGAATTGAATTTTACATGAAACAGACCTGAAAACCAGCGAAATTGCCTAGCGTGGGGTGCAGTATGGTCTGCCTGCGGTAGCACATTTATTGTTGAAAAGGCTTGCCTTCTACTTGTCTCTCTCTTCCATGGGGTGTCATCTCATGTCTGTATTCTGTAAAGGCGAAGACATTGATAAGTAGTTCACCTGCCATATTGTCATTATATAATGAGCTGGAGGAGTTCTGAAGACAAGATGACGAAAGATACCAACTCATCACTTAGCGAATGGGTTTTTACCCGATGGCTAACAAATCATAATGATGTTTTCGTTGCAGAAATTGTGCTATTAGCATACAAAATTAAAAAAAATTAAATAATTGATATAATAACAAAAAGTTTAGGTAAAATAGCACTGAATTATAATATTGGTAAATTGTGTTATTTTTACTTAATCAGGCTATCAATTCTGAAAATAATAAGAAAGGTCATTAAACTTTCAAAACTATAAAACTATACAGTTTTGATGAGATTTTTCATATTTATAGATTTAATGATTTATGTAGCGATGCAGTAATTATTATAAAAAAATAATTTTTAAAAATTATTATAAAAAATTAAATATAATTTAATTGTTGAATCAAAATTTTATATTTTTTTAAATTATTATTTTGATATGTTATGACTAGATCTTTTTTTTGAATTTAGACCTATTTAGTTGGTCTATAAATGTATTTACTAGACCATCCACAGGATTTATTTGAAAAAAGATTTTTATTTAAATATGAGAGACTCATACTTCACTACACATAATTATTTATTATTACTATTTAAAATTATTTATTATTACATGAATTATAACTTTTTAAGATTTTTACTAAAATTTATTTTTAAGTTTACAAGTTGAACAAAGATAATTTTGACCCATAAAATATGATTGAAAGAAAAACTTTATAAAATTATAATTTTTATATAAAATGGTTGATTAATTAATATAATTAGATTTAATTGATTGAAGTTAAGATTACAATTTGATTATGGCATATTATTATAAGATATAGTAATCATCTTATCGCATATATAAATAACAATATTTAGTAAATATAACATTTATAAAGCGGAAGATGATCAAACTGTGGTACTTCAAAAATAAAATCCGTTTGCGTGACGATTTTTCATGAATTCTGACCCAGCAGATACGGTCATCCTATTTCCCCTGGAGTAAAATGACCAAATCTATTAGAGTGATTAACTAAGTTCAAAGGGATAACCCGAGAAACATTTGCTTGGACACTACGGGCTATGGAGAGGATAGCTGACAAAAACAGTCTTGCTTTGACTCGATGAGAACAATCTCTCCCAAGTCAGGCTCTAGCAAAATCTGCATACAAGTTTAAGGCCCAAATGGTTGTCTCTGGGTTTTAATGCATTGTGCTAAGCTGAACCAATTTGGTTAATGAATTTCAATATACTATCGACCTGAAGTTTTGTTGGGTTTGAGCTATATATATGTGTGTGTGTGTGTAGTTTTGTTGGGTTTGAGCTATATATAT